ACCACGTTCCATTTTGTTGTAATTCATTGCTTTTTGTCGCATTCCATTTAGTCACTTTGCATTTTGTTCCATTTTGTTGCATTTCCTTTTGTTGCATTACATTTCATCAAGTTCCATTAAATTCCATTTTGTTCCAGTTCGTTGAGTTCCATTTCGTTCTTCGCATTCCATTTAATTACATTCATTGTGTTTCCATTTTGTCATGTTCCATTTCATTACATCTAGTCACTTTGTATTTTGTTCCATTTCATTGCATTACATTTCATTACGTTCGATTTCATTCAATTTTGTTCCATTTTGTTGCATTCCATTTAATTCGTTTTGTTCCATTTCCTTACATTTCATCGCGTTTTATTTCATTGCATGACATTTCATCACATTCGATTTCATTAAATTTTGTTCCATTTCGTTGCGTTCCATTTCAGTCGTCGCGTTCCATTTCCTTACATTTAATCGCGTTTCATTTCATTGCATTACATTTTATCACATTCGATTTCATTCAATTTTGTTCCATTTTGTTTTTCGCGTTCCATTTCATTACATTCATTATGTTTCACTTTCGTAGTGTTCCATTTAGTTTCATTTCGTTGTGTTCCATTTTGTTTTATTTTGTTGTGTTCCATTTTGTCACATTTCGTTCATCGCGTTATGTTTCAATGCATTCATTGTGTTTCCTTCCGTTTCATTGCATTCGCCGTGTTCCATTTTGTTCCATTTTGACGCATTTCGTTGGATTACATTTCATCAGGTTGCATTATATATAATTTCATAATGTTCATTTTTTTAGTTCCATTTTGTTCATCGCATTCCATTTTGTTAAATTTAATTGCGTTTCTAAGTTGCATTGCTTTTCATTTCATTTCACTACCTTCCATTTTGTTAAGCTTTGTCATGTTCCATTTTGTCACATTTCATTGCTTTTTCGTTGCACTCAGTTTTGTTTCATTTCATTGCATTTTATTTGTGGCATTCCATTTTGATGCATTACATTTCATCACGTTCCATTTCGCTCCATTTAGTTTCATTTCGTCTCATGTGACTTAAAACTTAATGACAAAATTTATGAACTCACGCTCTCTGAGAGATGAGTGGATATTTGCTGGATCACTAAGGCTGAGGAGATGACGACGGGTTAATTTCCTTCCTTTATAACCTCGGTTTACAAGGAGAGCTATATATGTAAACATTGCTAGATGAGATTTTTTTTCAGCTTTGTTTAAATATCGTTACACCACTAATGCATAGACTATAGTATTTCAACTCTTTTACAGTGAATCTGTGTTTGTCCACAACAGTGTCTGGTGACGTGTGGTAAGGGTGTGCGACACCGGCAGGTGCAGTGCATTCTGGGAGATGAGCGTCTGAGTGAGCAGCGATGTGACCCCAACACCAAACCCTCAGCGGTGGGCAGCTGTACACTCCCCGAATGTGCGGCCTGGCAGACCGGAGCCTGGAGCCCGGTGAGAAACACACACACACTTTGCACTATTACACACTCCGGCTCTGTTGTAACCAGGTTTTTCCTGACAATTTACATTTATTCACTGTCATTATTCCTACATTTACTTTTTGGCTTAAGCTGCGATCACACCTGAGTTTGTGTGTGCGAAATTCTGTCGTACGTCGCTGCGAAAAGGGGCAGGATTAAACAAGATTATTCGACATTAAAAAAGCGAGCGATTTCTCCATGTTTTAAATTTCTTTCCAGAGAGGTCATGTTTTGATACTTGATTGGTCTCATGCAGTTAAGTGATGCGATTTCGCAGTTCAGAGTTCACTAAAGCTTGAACTTTGCACCGCAGCGACCTGCGAAACTTTGCGTGCGTATGAATGGAAGTGTATGGGAGGAAAAGCCCAGTGTGACCGCAGCTTTAGTCCCTTTATTAATCAGGGATCACCACAGCGGAATGAACCACCACTGTTATTATTATTGTTATTATTTATTGCATGCATATTCGAATGTATAACTACTTGTTTAGGTGTTATGTGCTTGTTTTATAGTGCTCAGTTTTTTTGACCACACTTGCTTGTTTTTCTCATTTATTTATTTACATTGTAAAAGCGCTATAAAAATAAAGGTGAATTGAATTAAATTAGATGGAAATTAGAACTGAATTTAGAAATAGTTTTAAAACAAATCTTTGCCTTGATAAACTTAATTAAATATGGCATGTATGTCATTTAAAAAGTATGTTGGTGATATGCACCTATGCAGGTCCAAAATGCGCATACTCATGCTTATTACACTCACTGGGATGCACAGCAGCACACTAACATTTTCAAGTATAAAAAAATTAAAGGATTAAAATCTTAAAAATCTACATTATTCCACAGTCAAATGGATGATGCAACACCACAGGCTCATTCAGTAGATGCTCTGCTGGCTTTAGCCTCATGCATGCAATGAAACTTTCAGGTTATCCTCTGTTAAAAGGCTTTAGGTTTAATCTGCATTACAGCCAAAGCACACCCATAACTCATTAAGAGAATAGCACAACTCTTTTAGACCATGCGTCATGCACCACAACCAATTTCTCCATCCTTAAAAAAGCAAAAGTGGATTCCGACAGCCCTGTGTGTGTGTGTGTGTTTGTGTGCTGAGTCTGCGGTCAGTGTGTGTGATTCTCTGCTGCTGGTGTGTTTAGTGTACAGTGAGCTGCGGTGCTGGGTATCAGATGCGTGCGGTGAGGTGTGTGTCCGGAGCGTACGGAGAAACACTGGAGGACAGAGAGTGTAACGCTGCCGCCAGACCCCGAGACACGCAGGTGAACCAATGCTCAACTCTACATGTGCACAGGGGGCTTTAAAGGGCACCTAATATGCTGAAATCACTCCTATAAGGGTTTAACCCCAGTGTGTCAGCAGTGTGTGAATATCTCCAGCCTCTAATGCTCAAGATGACTGAACTGTATTGTTTATAATCAGACTTGATGAAGGAAACACTTTGATTGACATTCTCCCTTTGTACGTGTCATCAGAGGGGGAAAGCCCCGCCCACTAGTGCCCAGCTCTCCCTCATTAGCATAAACATTAGATTAGTTAGGCAAGTTTGTGTCATTTTGTTTGTAATAATATTAACAACATCAGTGTGTGTGTGTGTGTGTGTGTGTGTGTGTGTGTGTGTGTGTGTGTGTGTGCTGTGTGTGTGTGTGTGTGTGTGTGTGTGTGTGTGTGTGTGTGTGTGTGTGTGTGTGTGTAGGACTGTGAGTTGTCTGTTTGTCCTCATGTGGCGTCAGTCTTCAACACACCCAGACCTGCAGAAGCGTCTCAGCTGCGCACACAGTGGAGATTCGGCTCATGGACCACTGTGAGTAAAACACACGGTGTAGAATATGACAGCAAATGTGTGCTGTGTGTGTGTGTGTGTTATTCCTGTGTGTGTGTGATTTACTGTATGCATGTGTGATTTGTTTGTGTGAGATGTGTGTCATTTATGTGTGTTATTTGTGTGAGTGTGTTATCTTTGCATGTGTGTGTTTTTGTGTGTGTGTTATATATTTGTGATGTGTGTGTGTGCGTGCGTGTGTGTGTGTGTGATTTGTCTGCGATTTGTGTTTGTGTAATTTATACATGTGCTATTTGTTTGTGTGTGT